ATTGGCTGATTAGAAATTAAGTGTTAATGAGCAGTTGGACAGGTGTACCTAATAAAGTGGCCGGTGAGTGTATATATACACACACTGTATATTAGTGCTGGGCATAGATAAAAATATAATCATAATTAATTTCAAGATATTTTTGTGAATAATCACAGTTAATAGTTTTTTTTCCAGAAATTATCCCTCTACTATGGCTGAATGGGAATGTTTGTATGTTGCAATACACTCCATGTGCTTCACACTATGTACATTTTTTTACTGTGTTTATCTTTTTATCTTCTTATTGCTTGTTTTTTATTGCTGACAACTAGAACCTCAAACAGTGTCTATCTAATCTGAACTGACAATAAAATCTCCTTGAATTCTTGTAAACTTTAGATTTTCAGTGTGCATTGCCAATGCAATGCACACTATTGTGATTTGTTTCCCATCCAAGTCATCTCAACTTTGCCCTGCTTCTCCTCCTGCATACTTTGTCCTAGAGCTGCCTTTGTAATTTATATCTGTAAAGCCCCTGTGCCAAATGATGGCTATGCCTTTTGGTGCCTGTAGAACTTATAGTTTTTGAAATATTAATGTTTAATAAATTATAATGACAGTCAATGGAGCCTTGAATTGGTCCAATACTGCCCCCTGCTGCCTCTACACAATATGGTACTGCACCATAGTTTCATAATCTTTAAACWCAGTAGTTCAGTGATTACAATATTAATATGATTGTATTTTGATGTTTTACTGTAATACTGTCTTTATGTTGTCCTATTGCTGTAATATTGACACTTAAGTGTCAATAATTGCACTGGCAAGGTAAACTCTTTCTGTGTGCATACAATCYAATCCCTGGGATTAGGGTTGGGCATAATCGTATCGTGTGCAATTAATCGTCAGAAAAACATTAATCGATTAATTTTTGGCATTTGACGATTAATACGATTAATGCCACCAGGCAGAGTCCGCTCGCTTGATGCTCCTCTCCACTTCAAATATGACAAACATTAAAATAAAGTTCTGTAATTTATTTATCTATCAACACAATTTAAAATTAGATGTATAGCCTGAAGTCTGTAATTTTGACAGAGTTTGGAACAGATTTTTATGATGAGCAAATCTTTCCCACTAAATTGGTCATGTGACAAGGACATAAGGGTGTCCAGGGACTCCAGGGGATTAATCGTCAAATTAATCGTTATCGGCCAAATACCACAATTAATCGTGATTAATTTTTTTGCCAATATTGCCCAACCCTACTACACAGTCTGCTCATTGTTCATGAAGACCACTACAGTCTGTTCACTGTTCATGAAGACCACTACAGTCTGCTCACTGTTCATGAAGACCACTACAGTCTGCTCACTGTTCATGAAGACCACTAGTCTGCTCATTGTTCATGAAGACCACTACAGTC